GCCACAGTCCCCTAGTTTTTTAATGAGAATGGGGTGAGAGACAGTGTCAAAGGCCTTCCTAAAGCCCAGAAAGACTATGTCCACTGCTACCCCTGCATCCAATGATTTTGTGACCTGGTCGTAGAAGGCCACCAGGTTGGTCTGACAGGACCTGCCTCGAATGAGCCCGTGTTGGTTGCCCCCAAGCATGATCTCCCCTGCTGGCCCCTTGCAGATGTGCTCCTGGATAATTTTCTCAAAGAGCTTCCCCAGGACCAAGGTAAGACTAACGGTCCTGTAGTTTCCTGCGTCCTCCCTCCTCCCTTTTTTGAAAATGGGCACCAGTGTAAGCTTGGAGTTTACAAATGAACTATTGCCTAGGAGATGGGAGAAACTAGGAAGGGATTAATTCAGCCAAACACTACGTCCACATGGTTCACGTGGCAGGATCTGTTGCTTAATTTTAGCTAGAGTAACACAAGTCAGGTTTCACACAGTTGCTCTTCACAAAGCACATGCAATCTGAAAGCAAGAGTGAGATGGGCTCTTTGGTTTTTCCTTACTTTTAGAAGTGCAAAGGCTGATCTGCTTGTCTTTTCCCTTTGTGCTGAGCGTGGCTGATTCGGACATTTGTTTTCAGGATGTTGGTGCCTTGTGGGATTTGGGTACTACAACAGGCAGTTTTGGTGTGTAAAAAAAAAATATAAATAAAAAAATGAATATGACTATAAATGAGAATAATTAGAAATTTTAGGATGATGAGTGACTAGGGAAAGTTAGCTGGAGAAATAGTGGCTTCGCTGTATTTTACCCATTCTTCTAGGGGGATTCATGTCAATTATGTATCAAGGGGGCGGGGAAAATCCAGCAGAATCCCCTCCAGCCTTTCCTGTGCTGTGTTGTTAAACGCACTCTTTCACAATCAGATTTCTATAGTCACTTCAAAGGTGACATCCTCCTTGAAGCCTGAGTCTGAAGCAACTGGGATGTTTGGGGAGGGGTTGGGAAGGCTCCGATATTGGTTTTGGCTTTTTGCAAATGAGTTTCTAACCATGTGAGCCCTGAAAACGATCTCAAGTCGCATAAGCAGCTAACCATGTTGCTTTTTGGAATCCATACCGGTTTTTAATTTGTTTTCGGCTCCGAAGCGGACCTAGTCAACACTTCTGTGGATTTCTGAACGTACAGATGTAGACGGAGACTGCAAGAACGGGGGGTTTCCCCGGCTTCCTAAATACCCGTGTCTCAGCTCCCCTGGGCAACCAGGACCCCGTGCATTGCCAAAGTGGTAAAACTTTGCGCTGTTAGTAAAAAAGCGGATGGAAAAGGCTGGCCGAGCTGCCTAAACCAAACCAAGCGGAGGGGTTTTTTGGAGGAGTTTCCACCCGGGGGGGAGGAGATGATTTCTTTATTTCTAACCCCTTTTTTGGACACCTGCGAGCTGGGGACGCCTCGGGAAGGTTTGCAGCAGCGCTGCTCCCGGGGCAGGCGGGCTGCCTCCCTCCCGGGGTTTCCTGCTCGCTTGCTGGAGCGGGGGTGGGACGGGACGCGGCCCGGCCCCGGGGCAGCCGGAGCGCGGAGCTCACATGATGCAGCGAGGGGCCGGGCCGAGCCGGGCCGGGCCGGCAGCGCCCCCCTCCTGCCTGCCCCGCGGAGCCGGCTGTGCTGTGCACCATGCAGCCCATGCCCCCGACGGAGCTGTACCCCTGGGAGCGCATCACGGTGCTGAGCTCCTGCGCGCTGTCCTTCCTGGGCTCCAGCCTGCTGGTGTGCACCCATGCCCTGTGGCCCGAGCTGCGCACGCGGCCCCGCCAGCTCCTGCTCTACCTGTCCCTGGCAGACCTGCTGTCGGCCGCCTCCTACTTCTACGGGGTGCTCCAGGACTTCGGCACCACGTCGTGGGACTGCGTGCTGCAGGGCGCCCTGTCCACCTTCTCCAACACCAGCTCCTTCTTCTGGACCATGGCCATCGCCATCTACCTGTACATCACCATCGTCAGGGGCGCGCCCACGGGCACCGGCCTGCTCTGCTTCTTCCACGCGGTGAGGTGGGTGAGTGCTGCTTGCTGCCAGGGGCCGGGGACAGCCACCCAGCCGGAGAACCAGTGGCAGCTCCCAGTTGGCCGGTGGGGAGAGCAAAGCGCGGCCTGCTATGACAGCCTGCCAGGCTTGTGGGAATCCACCGCTCTTTCTGGAGGATACTTTGCATTTTTGTAGCTTTGCTCTTCTTTGATCTTTGCTTCCCACCCCCCCCATATCCCTGTAGGGGGAAATGTAATGGGCTAACCTCAGGAGAATGCGGCTTGAAAGCCAGGAGGCTGCTAGAAAGACGGTCTGATGGCTGCTTGGCATATTTAATGGGAAGCGAGACAAAGCAGCCCACAGTGCAGCCCGTGTCTGAGTTTTGACTATTTAGCAAGCTGATTTTCCACATCATGTTTAATAAAAGCCTTCATTATGCAACCCAAGCTTGTATAATCATGTGCCACCTCCAAGCTGAGAATAACAGTGATCTTTTAGCTCTGTGTATTGCCAGGTTTTCATAATCGCTTATGTGGAGACTAATCTAGTTTGGGGGGTGGGAAAAAGGCCCTCTGGGTAAGCTAAATTATGGCTTTTCAGGTCTTTTTCTTCGCCAAATGCTCCAAACTGTCATCTCTCATTTTCAAGCAGTGTCATTTGGAAGATGACTGAAATGCTGCGTTGTGTCAAAGTAAAAGACAGGCCAGAGAAGGCATCAAGCCTAAGTGGGAAGCAAGGGAAAAAGTGGGTTTTGCCCCAGCTCTTAATGAGTGGGACATCTACCTGGCCACCGTGGGAGTTGGAGCACTTGGACAGAGTCCTAGTGGCTCCAAGTGTGTTGGTGGATCTTCACTGTTTGTATGCTGCAGTGTTTTGGGGTCTCTTTCTTTCTCTTTTTTTTCATTTCCTCTTCAGGCAAAAAGCACAAAGCGAGATGGGGATATGGGAACCACAGAGACTGGGTTCCCAGGCAGTAGCAGTCACCTACTGGTTAGGAAACGGGAATAGCAGCCAAAATTCACAGAGCCCGATTCTGCACGGAGCTGCGCTCCATCAAAGTGCCGTAAGAATGAACAAGTCACTGCAGACTCTGGCCCCTTGTTTTTTTCCCGTCCTTATCAGTGACTTACTATGTGGCCTCAGTTTCTTCATGTGCTTAATACTTTCTTACCTCACAAGGCCATGGAAGAGGGATGGGGAGGTTGTGAGGATCAGTTAAATGTTTGCAGAGCACCGTGCAGTGCTATAAACTAGTTAAGCATTAAAGGCACCCCTTCCCTTTGTGAGGTGTGCGGAAGGAGTATACAGAAACTGAACTTCCTCTCTCGACTGGCCCTTGCTGGGTTTTGTTTTCAGGCACTGTATAGTCAAAATCTTGTACTACGCTCTCTCTGCCCTGTTAACAGTCGCCAAGGGGTCCTGGGCTGGATGTAAATGAACTAACTGCTTCCCTGTTGCTGCAGTGGCAGGACCCTGTCTTGACCTGTGGCATGTTGTAGGGCGGTCTTGATGTTTTGGATGTTGTTCCTTGTAGCTGGGGGCAAGGAATTGAAGTGGTAATTTGGGGGATTTCTTGGGGGGATGCTGGTGAATACAGGTTTTCAGCTCCAAATTCACTGGATTCAGGTTTGATTGTTTTCACCCAAACTCTGCTTTTAGCTTCAGCTATTTAGAGGACTTGGCCTCTGTGCACAGCCCGTGTAGTGCTCTTACTACCCTTAAAAATCTTGAAAATCCACAGAGGAAACCCGTGCCGCAGACACACCAGTAGGGACTTGTTCTCTGCCCTCCTCAAGACCTCTCCCTTTTTTCCTCCTCCTCCTGCCTGCGTTCCTTATTGTGGCTTGGGAACCCGATGGTAAAAGCCAAACTAAAGAACTCATGGTGGGAGACACTGTTTTGGGGGTTGTTTTTCAGCACTATTACCCATGCTGAATTGCCTTCACAGCATCTCATCCAAGAGGACAGGTCAAATCTGGAGTAGCTACAGCTATTCACAGGGGAACAAGGGCACATAGTTTAACTAAATGGACAAGAGGGACACAAAAAGGCCTAGATAAAAGTTAAATGATACAATCAGGATTTAAAGAGAAGATGAAGTCATTGGGATCTTTGTTGTACAACAGGGGGTACATGTAGATAAGATAGCAGCTAAGGAATCTTTGCTTCTTTAGTGAGAAGCCTTGATCTTGCAGAGAGCTCTCCCTGTGAAGACCCATTTATGTGGCTTGCTGTGGTGCATGGGATGGGTCTTTGTGCAGGATTGATTAACCCCAGTCCTGACCTGATTTGTGGTTAATTAATCCTGATACAATGACATGTTTTTAATAAAACAAATGGTCCTTCCTGTGCTGGTCATATCCTTCCTGATGGAATAGAAAGGGACTGAAAGTCTCTTTTGACATTAAAATGAATCACTATGAGCCTTGATTACTTTTTTTAAGGCATGCCAGGCTTGGAAGTTTGTGCCTTGGGTTATCCTCTTAGGTAAATCAGAATGTGTCAAGCTTTTCTTTTTTTTTTTTTAAGATGAAACCTGCCAAACTGGTTTGCTTCATAGGGATTCAAGTGGTAACATGTGCTTTTGTTTTAAGAACCGTTCTGGGGAGTTGCATCGGGCCTGTTCAGTTTTATTTTTAAATATGACTATACTGGGCCTTGAAGCGATGGTGTTAGTTTTGAGAGTCTTTGAATACTTGTCCTGGGTACAAGTCCCTGTAGCCTGAGCACAAAAATCCAAGTTCATTTTGGATCTCTAAGCACAAGGGGATACAGTTTGCTTCCTGTCCTAAACTGTTAAACACCAGCAGCCACCTTTCAGTGATGAGCGGTGCAGTTGGGGGCATGTAGGCATGTATGGGTTTGCTCTCTGTGTGGACATGTCTGCAGACTGCTCTATGCTCCTTCCCAAAACAGTGATTTGTACGTTGGTAGATATATTGGTGGAAGAGCTTTTCTGTTAGTATGAAAGGGCTCTTCTATTTGTGTAAAAGCACTGGTGACAAATGTGAGTGTTGAGATTTACCTATAAGCTCCCACATGCTACTCAGAAAAGGCAAGAATCTCTTGCAGTTTGGCTTTATGACGCATAGTTTACAAAAGGCTGTTCAAGGCAGCTTAAGCAAAGTGCAAACACTTGGTGGTTGGTTCACTAGCTTGTAAATATGGTACTTGCAAGCAAGGGAGGGTGCTCTGCTGGTAGTGGCACGCTAGATATGTTTCTAGACCTAGCATAGCTGGACTCAGAGACTGTGCTATAGCATTGGCCCCTGCGATTGCTAGAAGGGATGCCTATGGAGTGGCCCTGTCATAACGACCACGTTTCACTAATATACGTGCATGCATGCATATAAAATAAATAACTGACTCTTCTCAGGCCCATGCAAGGTAAAGGAATGCAGCTGTCATCATTTTAAGAATAAGGCGGCTGAGGAAGAGAGCATTGTTTTCACAGGGCCCAGCCAAACCCAGTCTCCATTGGTTTTCATTTAAAACTATGCTTGCCTTTTTTGAAGATTGGATCCTCCGGCATTGTTTCCCTGAAGGCTGTGGGTGGGGAAAAGGGAGTGTCCGAACAGAATTAGCACTTGGGAATTGCTGGCTTTGAGGCCTGTCCTCTGATCCTTTTGTTTCTACTCTATTAGTGCGCACCTTAGCCCATGGCAAACTCATCAACTGCCTGAGTTAAGGGGCATCCCTGTAGCCTATGAAACGAGACTGCATGAGCAAGTTGCTTAAGCATGGGTCAGCAAACCACCAGGCTTCCTATCTGAGAGCTCCAGCCTTGCTCAGCCCTCCATGTTCGTTTGCCATTGAGCAGCAGGGAAGCTCAGGAGAGTGGAATAATACTATACTGGGCATTTGAATCGAGCCAGATTTGTAGTCGGAGCTGGCGGAGCTATGAATTATGAGGATACTCATGAATTCACCCTGTTGTTTTTTTTTTTCCCCCCCACATGTTCATGAATCCATCTTGATTTAATTTTTTTTTTTTTTTTTTTTTGCATAAGTATTTTATCATTTTGGGGGCCAAACAACTAGTCGGTCAATGGGGTGGTTTGTGAGCTGTTCAGTGGAGGTCCATACTCCCAGAACGTGTTTGGCTGCCAAAGTCCTGTGGAGCTGTGTTCACTTCCTGTTTGAGTGATTTAAAAAATGACAGAATGATGAGCAACAAGTGATCAGCCTGTGCCAAAATGTGTTTAAACTTTGGAGATTTTCAAACATTTTTGTGGCTGCTTGGCCCTGGTCTGCATATTTTTGCGACGCTAGTTTGGTGGGCCCCCTCTGGGATAATAGCAAGGAAAATATTCCCAAATGGGAGCCTCGAACCAGCTCAGCGAGTGCTAACGCTGATTTGAATTTCTTACTGAAATGTCCTGAATTTGGCATCTGATGTTAGTATTTGAGCATAGTCTTGTTTGAGAGACAAGCTGAACATGTTACACAGTAGGGAGTACTGCTTGAGTACAAGCATGGTTTGTGGGTGGCAAGTGAGGTCCTCTGAGACTTTGCAACACAATACTATCTTGAATTATATCTGGAAAGGAAAAAGGATTGTGGCGGGGGGGTGTAGAGAAACGCTCTGTAGTTAATACCCTGAATTTCAGACTGAAACGACTTGGGTTCAAGGTCCTAGCTCTTCCGTAGGTACCGTGGACAAATCTCTTAATCTTTCTGTGTTTCAGTTTGCTAAAACTGAATGACAGCATGGGAGCACTGTGATAGGCATCAGGCACTTGGCTGCTACTGTCATATGCTCCAGAGAAAACTATATGTTGGAAACATTGCTTTATCCACTCAGATGCATATGGTAGTTATTATCCCTGCCCCCAACAGCTGTATAAAACGCAGGCTGGCTCGCTCAGAAGGACGAGGGGCGTGCGATTGATTTCAAGAGTGGCATCCCTTGTGTATCCTCTGCTGACTGCAGCTGATCCTACGCAGCTGCAAAGGGGGAGTATGGACCTGGGAAGATAAATACCATTGCCTTTACCAAAGACAAGCCCGAATCAATGAAATGCTGGCTCTGGACACCCCAAACTTAATTTGGACTCAGTTTGAAATTTCCTGCAATTTTGGGCTCATCTCTGCTTCTTCACTATTCCTTCTGTTTGCCCCTAATATTTTTCCCTTGAAGAAACAAGATGATTGGAGCCCTGAGAACCGCACCCCTTTCCAAAATGAGTGCTTTGTGTCCAATTTTTCATAGGCCTTGCCCAGATAAGCAGTGGGAGGTGCGGATCCTTTCCACCATGGGTGCTTGTGTGTTAAATACCAAGTGGGAACCGGACCATAGGATTCAAGTTCTCATGTCTGCACACTGGGTCCCAGCTGACTTGGTTCTGAATTGTCCGTCTCTGAGGAATGTTTCAATTCTAGGAAGTCTTCAGACCAACAGACTGCAGGCAGGCACTTACATGTGGCATGGAGCAAACAGGGAGGACAATACAGCTCACTGCCATTTGCCTGTGAAGAACCAAGGGTGTGTCTGCAAAACTATTGAGTTTGGGCTGGAAGAGAAATAGAGCATGAAAGATTATACTGCTGATCCCCTGCAGCGTGGTATCGGCAAAGGACGGGTTCCTGCATATGACCATCTTCCTATTTATAACTTGAGTAGGGTGAGTGTTTGACATGGCAGATGGCCTTCAAGTAGCCAATGCTACCAACTTGGAGCAGTAGAAAACTTAAGGGTACGACTACATTGTGTAGCTTTAAATGAGCTAGCTCTGGTCCTGCGAGCAGTGTCGCTGTGGCAGTATAAGCTCATTGTAGGCTGCACAATCTACCCAGGAAATAAATAAGTACTTAGGCGATTAGTCTGAGCTGGGCTTGGTGCTGTGGTGGCCCCCTACTACCATTATCTAGTTAACTTAAAGCTAGCTCGGAAAAACTGCGCTACGCTTGTGGCTAGACCGTCAATTTAAACTGAGCTTTCCTTGTCCAAGCATCTTCGGCTTGGCCCCTGAATACTAGAGTACTGAATGGAGAAATAGCAGTAAGCGTGGTCCACCCTCCCATATAATGTGGTTCTGTGGCCATTATGGTTGTAGCCTGCTTTCTGCACTATTGTTTTCTTATCCACACTTGGATTTCCTTCCTTCAGACTAGGGATGTGCTTTACGTGCTGGCTGGACTTGGTGAATCATCGTTCAGTAGTCTCTAAGGAAAAGTGGAAGCATCAGGACATGGTCACTGCTCCATCACTGCTCTGTGACACAGGGTGCAGCATGGTTTCCTGGCATTCAGCACTGAAGGGGTAAATCACAGTATGGCAAGTCTTGCATATGCCTTGTGTCTTCCAGAGCAGAGGGAGCCCTGCTCCTAGACAGGATTTGCTGGGAGGTCACCACCTGGTCTGCAAGGGCAGAGCTGGAGTTTAACTGGAAACGGTTGTGTTGTCTACCCTGCTGCCTCTTGGGGCTCTCGGGTGCCTTGAGGGCAGTTCCCAACCAGTCCTGTGCTGGAGTCGCCAGCTGGTCATCCCAGGAGACATCCAGTGTCCTCACGATGAGGATTTTCTTACTGCCTGACCTGTTCCCTGCAGCCTGCCTTTGACTATGTGGCATCCTGCCCTACCTGAATCTCCCCTCTTGTTCTTTCTCCTCAGCTGGGGAATCCCACTTTGCATCACAGTGGCTGCCGTCGCCTTGAAAAAGATTGGTTATGATGCATCAAATGTGTCTGTGGGATGGTGCTGGATCAACCTGGAAGCAGAGGATCGGGTCCTTTGGATGCTGTTGGCAGGGAAGATCTGGGAGATTCTGGCCTACCTCATCTTGCCACTTCTCTACATCCTCATCAAGAAACACATCAACAGAGCGGTAGGTACCCTGGCTGCTTTCATTTTGCAAGGATTTATTACACTTGCATCCTTGCATGCTTAGAGGACCTCAGGAAGCTACATAGACAGGAGCCCCTTCACTTGTTGCTGAAAATGTAGCCGTGTTTGGGGAGCAACGGAGCAGCTGATTTAACAGGACACAGCAGTGCCATACAGTGATTCGGCACGGGATGCGTGCAATAGCCATCTATAAGCTCTAGAGGATCCAGGACAGAGACAGGTAGAACATAAGTATTGGAATAGGAATTGATCAGGACTTTGAGGGGAAAATCTGATCTTGGTCTAACTGGATCCTGTCTACCCCTGGACAGGCAGAAGTTGGGATGCTTCTCCCAACTATTTGTAAACTGGATGCTCCCTCTGCTTTCAAGAAGGCAGCTTTTCTGCCATAAGCCAGGCATCGCCTGGTAACGTCTGTGTTGGAAATAGGTTTCCAAGGCTGAGAGAAAGAGAGACAAGGAATCAAAATGGGTTTGCTGCTGCCAATCACCAGTCACCCGTCTGTAAACTAGAAGGGACTCTGTGTTCCAACAGCTGTCAGATGCCGGCGTGACCGTCTGGAAACCCAATCCGCACCACCACCCCCAGGCCCTCACCCCTGTGCTCGGTGCCAGAGATTTTCAGCCACTCTCTCCCTTTCATGCTCTGGGCTCCGATTCCTCTGCAGGGACAGAGCTGAATGGAGGCAATTGTCATCTTGGTAACTGGGTTCAGAGAGCCCACGCGGATCCAGCTGGACTGCACGCTTGCTCCTCTCCCCTCCCGAACCTTTTCCAGTTGCATTGCACCTTTGAGCTGTATTGAGGCTTGAGCCCTTTTATGGAAGCCCTTCCCTAAAGGGTGCTTAGAAGCAGTGGTGAATGCCTGTGCTGGGCCCGGAGCTGTTTGGAAGCCGGGGTGGGTTTACCAGGCAGCTCCCTCCTGGTGTGTGGTGCAGGTGGCATTGTGGGGGCAGCTTGGTTGGGACAGAAGGCTCACTGGTGCTTTCCTCCTCACCCCAGCCCTTTCCCACCTCCCACCCCCCTGAGGTGGCAGGAGCTGTACAGGTGGCTGACTTCTCGGTGCCATGTCATCTCAGCTGCACAAACTTTCCCAGGGCAATGACCTGATGCAGGCAAGGCTGCGACTGTGGAGATGAGCAGGGCAGGCTGTAATGATAAAACTGCATGCTCTGCATGGTCTTTTGGGGTATTCAGTACCACTGCCCATTTTAGCTCATCAGACTGTTTTGCAGGCCAGATCCGTGTTCCCTGTGTTCAGTGGGTGGAGGGACGCAAGAAGGGTTGAGCAGATGCCTACACCCACAGAAAGTACCTGCCTCTGACCTGGGAGTAGGCAGCAGGTATTGTTTATTGGTGCTTTGGACACTTGTAGGCACTGAAAAAACAGAGATTGTTTTAAAAGGCTGGGGGTTCTTGCTGCCTCTCGCATGCTGAGGGTCACTGGCTCGGGCCTTTCTCGCCGCCAGTTTGTCTAGGCAAGTACCAGAAGCAGTCCGGCTGCTTTAGTTTGGAGCTCTGTCCAGCGTAATTAGCCCCCTTTAGAAAGAAGGTGGATTAGCTTCAAACAAACACCGGGATGCGTGTCTACTGTTTCTGGCACCTGAGCTACCGCAGGTATCTCTCCATAGTGCTGCACCCAGAGAGAGCAGTGGTGTGAGACGCACATAATGTGCCTCGAAGTATTTCTCCTGCCAGAAACTGGAGCACCGGAGGTGCGGTAGGGGAGAGGGCAGGCGTGGGTGTGTGGAGCAGTGGGAAGTGTGGATCATGGTAGGAGCTAGGGAGGATTCGGATGAGTTTAACCAGGGTTAGAGACTCTTTGGAGTAAGGAGAGGAGGGGCAGTGGTTGCAACTTGCCCTTGCTTGTTGACTCAGGCGGGTATTTGATTAAATCAAAGTGATTCCATTGACTTGATTTTCTGTGGGCTTTCTATGGACATGGGAGGAAGGGGCACAGAAAGGCTGAAGCCCTCCCATTCTCAAATAGTGGGGGAAGGGCGCTTGGTAATCATGGTTCTAGACTGGGTTTCAAGAGGCTGGATTCAGTTTCTGGCAGTGCTGTACAATTCCCAGAGCAGCCCAGCCCCCTGGAAGATGGCATGGGCAGTGTTAACAGCGCTCGGAGAAGGTCTGGCTTCCAGCTGCCATGTGATGTCAGTGTACGATCCCGCAGAGCTTTTCCAGGGTAATGACCTGACGCTGGCAGGGCTGCGAGTCGCTTCGGGCCAGACTTTCATCTGGCACAAATCTGCTTGTGTCCACTGGCTTTTGTGGATCAGTGCAATTTACACTGGGTGAGAATTTGGCCCTTAATATCTCTGGCTGCTTGCAGATGTTTCAAAAAAACCCAAAACCCCACAAAAAACACTGTACTTTACCGAAAGCAGAAGCATGTTAGTTCAACCTGGCTCCACAGCATCTGTAGTCAATCGGTTATTAGATAAAAGCACCAAAGAAGCCCCACTAAAGCGCTCGAGCTATACAGACGTCAAGACAGGCCGGGTCCATCTAACGTGGTACCTCTGCTGGACACATGTTGGGCTCAGCTCAGGAGCTCATGGAATTAAACCCACCCCCCTGGCATTTTAAATGTCTGCAGCCAGCATCCATGCCTCATTTACCCATCTGCAAAAGGGGAGTAATGCTTGCTGGCAGCATGTGGGACGTGTTTAGGGTTCTTGTGCTGCAGTGGTGGTGACCCAAAGCATTTGGATAGGCAAACAGCCCTTTGGCAATGGTGTAGGCAGTAATGTAATGCTTTGCCCTTACCATGTGCTCTTATCTGTAGGTATTGGCTTCACCAAAATGGGTTAATATTACCCCTGTTTCACAGGGTAAACTGTGGCCTCCCTCTAGGCATTACATTCATGCCACAATTTACCTGTTCATGGTGGCATAAATAGGAAGGGTGCTACATGGGAGCCTGATTTAAGGTACTGTAAAATTTCCACATGTAGAACATTTTTGTGACTCATTTGTATGCTACTTTAAATGTAATATGTGGCCAGTGGCTGACTGTCACCTGATTTGTTGGCCAGGGTGGAGGCTGGGCGGGTGGGGTAAAGCCAAAGGGCTTTCTCCCCTGGGGACTTTAAACCCTGCACTGAGTCGCTCTGGCTGAACTATCCGGCACCAGGGAGCAAGCTTCTGTTGGGGGAGAGGGCAGGCAGGGAGCTTTTTGCTTCCCCCGCCAGGGTACATTGAGGAGCTCTGACTGGCTGGGTCTGGGGACTGCACCCGTTTGAGATCCTGGTGAAATCCCCAGACCCAGATGACAATCAGCTGATTGTGGGCCTAGCTGGAACCATACCAGGGCTGGTTTCAGACCCTGGTGTGGTCCCTGGGCTGAGCTGACAATCAGCTGATTGTCAGGCACCCAGTTTTCAATTCGCTAGTGCAGGGGGAACCTGGTATCGTGATCCCAGGCTCACCGTATACTGGCCAGTATGGTGCAATTGTTGGGATAGGGTATCTGATCCCATCACACCTTTAAGTGAATTCAGTTTCTGGCTGTGCTGTACAATTCCCAGAGCAGCCCAGCCCCCTGGAAGATGGCATGGGCTGTGTTAATAGCTCTTGGAGGTCAGGGGCCTGAGGCTTGTGGAAATGAAAGGTCTTGATCTGAGGCCATGCAACACCTTGGTGGCAAAGTTGGTCCTGGAACCCAGGTTTCTCGGCTGCCAGCAAATCTGTATGGAAAGCATTGCCTATATTTACACGGCTCTAGAAATGGCTGCCCTTTAATTGTGTAGGACCATAGGTGTATGCATGCTCTTCCTGCAAAAGACCATGTATCCCATTTTGTGCCTCCTTCACCTGGGAAGCTCCTTTCAGTTGCTTGTGTCCACGAGGGCTGAATCTGGCATTCTCTCTCTGCTCTCAGGAGCACAGAGGTAGCTCAGCTGGAGTTACTATGCCTTTCCAGCCATCCGGAGCATGCCTCTTGACTGATGGTCAATGCATGGCAGATTGCAAGGAGTTAGTTTGGTTTGGAAAGAAGGCACTGGTTTAAGTATGCACAAGCAACTGGCTAGTAACTGGATATTGGACCTTTTTGACTTTCCATTACATTCTGTATTGTTCACTTGTGGCTGCTCCTTTCCTTCGAAGCATGCGGCACTATCTGAATATCGTCCCATCCTAGCGAGAACACCTGCCTTTCAGCCCAGGACATCCATTGCAGATAAGAAGCTGATCCTTATCCCTATCATCTTCATCTTCCTCCGCATCTGGAGTACCGTGCGGTTCATCCTGACCCTCTGCGGCTCCCCGGCCGTGCAGAATTCCCTCCTGGTGGTCCTGCATGTGAGTGTTGCCCAGCTGGTGCTCTTGGTGGATGGGGCATAGAAGCTGAATAAATCAGAGGTGGTAGCTTTGGGCAGGGAGGCAGGTGGGGCTGTGTGACTGACTGGTTAAGTTGTTTGAAATGGGTGAGACTGTCCTGCCCTGAGCAGAGTTTTTCCTGTATTGCAACATACAGGATTTGCACCATTCTGAGAAGCTTGGAAAGGGATTGCCATGAATCAGCAAAGCCTTCTCCTGTCCCATGGGAGTATGGAGCAGCCACTCTGCAGATATTTTTGCTAATCCCTTTAATTCAGGTGGCTGCACCACTGGTAGGCACAAGGACTTGGGCGACCTGTTGTGAATTGATTTGAGGAAGCAAAGCAGCGAACTTGATTGATGCTAGAAGCTGCTGATTCAGCTGCCCTGCTCCGGATGAAGTGATTCTCGTGTCTAGTGGCCAGAGGAAAGAGCTGAAACCACCATTGTGTTCCTTTAGTCCCAGTATCAAGGAGGAAATGAAGGATCTGTCAGGGGTCAGGAAACTGTGAAGCATCTCACTCAAACTAGAATAGTTGGCATGTGACATGAGGCACTAAAGAGGACAGATCTTTTAGGAAATATGACTTGTATCACTCCTTTAGCTTGCCCTTCCCGTGGGAGTCCATGGTGCTCACTTATTTGGGAGAGAGAGAGGTTCCCTTCTGTCTCATCAGGCTATAGTAGAAGTTGCTCTCATCTGGAGCTGATGAGTGATCCCCAGTACAGAGCAGCTTCTGCTGCTTTGGTTCCCTTTGTCACGAGCCTTCCTCATCTTCCCTTTTAGGTAATCACAAACCCCTACCATGGCCTGTCTGCCTGACAACAAAGTTGGAGATCTTCCTCCACCTTCATAAACCAGGTCTCCTGACTTCATCAGGGTGGAATAGCTTTGCATTGAAATGCATCATAGGTGGCACTGGCTCTGATCCTTGAGTTCTTTCAGGTTCAGGAACAATAGCTTCCCTGCCCTGCCAGTGCAGCAGTTGCCTTGATGGCCTAGGTCAGTGTCTGACTTTGGGGCTAGGGAGAGACGTGTCCGGGATTCATTTGTGGCTAATGCTTTCTGCCTGCCCCTGGCAGGGAATTGGGAACACGTTCCAGGGAGGTGCCAACTGCATCATGTTCGTGCTCTGCACCCGGGTGGTACGGACGCGGCTGCTCTCCTACCTCTGCTGCTGTCGCTACGATGCCTCTAATCAGTCTCCGCAGAACTCAGACGGGCATTACCAGCAGACCGAACCCCACAAGAGCAGAGAAGTGCAAGAGACCGACCGGAAGAAGGCCATGTTCTCCAGTACCTGAGCCATGGATCTCCAAACCGCAATGGTAGCGTCTGTCTTTCTTGGTAAACATCTAATTGTGAGTCCTCTCTATTGCCTGGCCTTTGCACACCCTGGGTACTGTGCTTGGGATGACAAGGCCCTGGCAACCTGGAGGCAGAGCAGCTGCTGGTGTAGGAGAGGAAATTCTGCTCCGACTGGTTCTGCAGGAACCCCGTTTCACAGCCCTCCTGCAGGGTTGCAGCACGTGGTCCAACATGAACAAATTGAACCACACTGTGCCCCTGTCAGGCTGGGAAGCCATGGGATTCCCCTCTGTAAAATGAGGAAGCTGAGGCAGAAATAGACCCCTTATCCCCTTGCTCCCAGACCTGTACTCTGGACACTTGGTTGTGCTTTCCCTTAGACCAGTTGTACACGCAGCCACATGTAAAGAGGAATCTGTGGTGGGTGCCAGTGTCTGCGGAGTTTGGACACGTGTGTGGCCTCGTGACTGGTAGTGGTGAGCCTCTCATTTCTTAGTCTCTTTATCCTCACAGCACCCTTCAAAGTTAGGCACATCTTGTTATCTTCAATTTGCAGTAGGGAAACTGAGGCATAGTGGAGCTAAATGATTTGCTCAAGGGTATACAGGAAGGCTAGGGAAGAGGAGGGACTTGAACCTAGGTTTTGGGGTTCCAGGCTGGTACTAAACTCTCCTCTCTCCTGACTGTCAGGTTTTTCATGTGCAGCCAGGTTTACATAGCCGTATTTAAGAATCCAGTGCAGAGCAGGCAGGGGCTGAGACTTTGCCCATCTAGGAGTCCAGTGGGCCGGAGATGGAGTGAGGTGGAACAGATCACAAGAGCTTTCTGCCTTTATCAAGGCGATGCTCACCAGGGCGACACTCTGATGTGCCATGGTGCTAATGCCCAGATTGAGGTGAACTGCCCCAGACTGGGAGCTCTAGTCTCTCTGCAGGGACAGGACATAGTATATCTTAGCCTGCACCTCTGCCATATGTTTCTACTTCTCATTCTGCCCTGATGAACGGAGAGTCTGAGAAACCAAAGGGGGACTTTTTTTTTTCTTCCTCTCCACAATTTTTATTTTCTTTGCATACTCAGCTTTTGCACAAATTAGTTCCTCAGGTGCTGTCTGGGGGCAGAGGGCAGCAGGCTGGCATCTCTTGCTCCATGCCCACAGCTGTTCAAAGGCAGCTCTCGTTAGTGTGACTAATATTAATACTAAGGACATGCTGGGGTCGAATGATGTAATGGACTCGGCATGGGACCAGGAATAAGCAACTTCTGATGCTAGTCTGAGCATCTCACCCTTAGGCCCTGTGGATATTCTCTTTGTTGTCTCTCCATTGGCATTTAAAAAAAGAAATTGGGGGAGGGACTTGGAGATGGGGTTATTTGGTATTACTGTGGCACAGAGAGACAGCATATGGGCTCTTGCAAACATGTAGGAAGGCAAAGGTCCAGGGAGCTGCCCATCTTGCAGGGTCAGCCATTATGGGCAAAGCACCTGGAAGGCAAGTGCTGAGTTTTATGTAGATGTTATTTGCTGATGGCTTTGGGAGCTTTCTTCTATTGCACATGTCAGCTAGCTTGTTAAGAAGCCAGCACCATAGCCATGGGCAGACCTAGGATTTTGAAAAGCAGAGTGTAGATGGTGTGGCACATTATCACATATAACCCAACATATTTTTCTCCAGTTAAATAGAAACTAGAAAGTTCCCTAATAAGCTAGGAGGCTAGTGCTGTATTATTCAGTTTGCAAACAAAGCAAAAACAAATATAACTATTGGGATGTGCACTACTTTGCTAGATTATACATAAATTAAAGAAAAACAAACCACACAGCAAACTAGGCAAAAGAGTCAAAATTATTTGTGTCATTAATGCCATGTTCATTGTAGTTAAATGTACGTTTCCTATTTGGATTCATTAAAACCTAGCCCTTTTGGGTGCCTGGAAAGTGCCTCCAATACTTTGCTGTCAACCTTTTCTACAGATTGAGTTAATATTATCACACCTGAGATAAGGTTTTTTTAAGAGCTAGAACTCAAACCAGTCTGCAGGGCTGGGAAGTAGAAGAGAGACATTACTAGGAATGGCTAACAGTCAGCAAAATAGCAGAAGAAAAGATGGCATGGGTAGTGCCAAGACTATTAAATGGACAGAGGGCTGTTAACACCTGTGAAGGGGAGAGGGATTATTAGGAATCAGGGAGACAATAATGAGCCATGAAGTCAATTGACACTGCCTGAATAGAAATGCCACTGCCCCTCCCAGGCAGTTGGTTTTAATGTTTGAGTAGAACAGGAATCGGAGGGATGCAGCTGTCCTGGATTCACCCCGACCATACTTGAACCTCACATTGTTCATAGTGAACGTTGCATGTGGGTTGGTTGATGGAAGCTGCAGTATCAAAAGCCTTCTTCCCTTTGTACGGGAGGAGAGCATAAAGGTAAAGTTAAAGCTGTGTGTAGCCCTCACCCTGAGATGAGGAAGTAAGCGTTTTGATGGTCACCTCCGAGATGCTTAAATAATGGAACAGCCCCAAGCCCCTTGCTTTCAGTTCCTGGTGACACCAGAGTTGAGAGAGACGCCTGGCTTTCTGCCATGCAGGGCTTGGCGAGTGCTAGTCCTGCTCAGAGCTGGTTTGAAAGGTGTGGCAACTTAAAAAGATATTAGGTGCTGTGTACGCTGTGGATCTCCCTTGACAGGCTGCACCAGCACTGACACGAGTGAAAAACCTGCCCCGGAAAACCCTTGTGTAGGGAGGCCAGAGAAAGGAAAATGGCTCCAGAGAAGCTGGTGCAAGCAGCTTTACTTCCTTTTGCTGCAGCCAAGCAGGACTTCAAAATAAGCAGCTGGGTGGCTATGTGAGAGACCAGGGAAGAGGAAGGTGCTGAGCTAGCATGCAAATAGGTTGGCAGCTGCTAGTGCTTAGTACTTCCGCTCGGGGACTTCAGTGGAAGTGGGGGCAGTTGCTGAGGGCAATGCTCCTTGAAGCCCATGTTGTCTCGGTAAAGAGGGATTGGGCCACTGTCTTTCTGAGCTCATGTAAATGTGGGAAGCTACAAAGGGAACCACAGAAAGAGCTGGGGTGGCACAAGTCCATGCTAGGGCACGTGGCCACCTGCTCCAAAGTTTGATTCAGTAGGAGCCATGTCATGATGAAAAATGCTCATCTCTCTGCCAGCATTGGGTGACTTCACTTTGTACACAGCAGCCCCCATGCTTCAGAGTCCACAGCATTTTGGATTTTAACTGTGCGCTTTTGTTGCAAACAGGTATTTGACTTGCCACCACGTGCCTATAGAGGGAGCTAAAGACTGGAAGAAAAGGAACATCAAACGCAGGCCACGTCGCAGGACAAGCGCCCGGCTGGAAGTCCTATCCCAGCTGAGGCTGCCTTGGCTCCTTTCTCAGGATCTCCTGGAAGATGTTACTACATCACGCTCCAACTTCATCCGTCCTTCTTGTCTCATAGAAACTTAGACGTTATTCTTGGGGTGTGATTTCCCTTTTTTAGGAGGTGGATTGCTCACTGTGTATCCAGGGAGGAGGAAAACCACGATGATCTGAAAATGCTGAAGCTTCTGAGTGGACCTGTCTTGGGCATGTGATAGATTTAACTCCTGGTGCACAAGGTCTTGAAAGGCACCTTGTCCAGGCCCTGGTCCTCCTCCCTGGGTGGATGGGGACAGTGACTTAACAATGTCTTCTTTTTTAAATTCCTTGGGTGTTTTCCTTTGGTGTTTTGTCCCTCCAGCAGGGCAGGCAGCAACTCATCTGCCCTCCTAGATTTGGGGTGTGATGAGTTTGCATTGCCTCTTGGGGAAATTCACGGCTGTGTGGGCAGTTTGTTGTTGAGGGTAGCTAACTTGGGATGATTACCGAACATGCTCCATCCAATGGGAACAGCCTGTGAATGGACATATAGATGGGTTGTGTTGTGTATCCTCCGAATCCAGGGTTTACTGCTTCCAAAGTATAATCTGTTTTTTTTTGTTTAATGCTTCCTTTTCCCTAACTGGCATTTTAAAATCACAGCTTGAGTTTTTGGAGACACTATCCTTTTAAGAACGTGTCCTGTTTACAGCTCCTCTTTCTATGCACTTTCTAAACCTTTGTCATTTTAACAAAATCTTCTCCTTTCTAGCATTTTTTGTACACAGATGTTGTCATTCACTGTTGTAACAACAGACAAATGAGCCTATCGACCTCTCTCTGCAACTAAGGGTGGGGTGGAGCAGAGAGACAGAAACTGTGCAACAGTGTTTTTACAGATGACTGGGGTGTCTGTAATTTAACAAATGACTGACATTTTAAGGCATGTACAGGAAGACGAGTCACCCATGCTGTCTGTATGTGGGTTGCTCTTCCCTATTTTTCTACGGGACTATAAAGCTCTCATCAGTGTTGTGAGAGAACCTCTTCGGCTCTCTGCGTTTTTGTGTCACTTGAAATGCCCACCACCCCCCTGGCATCAAACTGAAGGGCCTGTATGAGCTGAGTGGGTAGCATGCGGTCCAGTCCCTAGCAGGCAGGTGCACACACCATGGAGCTATCCCCACAGCTGGTGCAACTACTCCAGCACACTGAGGATGGGGTGGGCAGCTCATGGCTTCCTAGGATGCTGATACAGGGAAAACATGGCTCAATAAAAAGCAGGTTAACTACCACAGCACTAAAGGAAACTTAGTCCTTAGTACAGGCATGGACAAGCGCATGACATTTTTTCAAAGGGCTGAGAGGCTTAGGTCCTTATAAAAAAAACTTGAACCATGTGCTATCTGATCATCATGACTAAGCCTTCACATCCTCTCTGACACAAGGATTCTCCACTGGGTGAGTTAACATGTTTAAAATCTCAAGGGAGGCAAGGCCTTGCATGGATTAGGGTACATCTTTGAAGGGGACTTTGCTGGGGCAAAGCTGGCAGCATCATCTGCTAATAAGATTGTGCAACATTTTCCATTCTAAGTTTCAGTTTCTATTCCTTATTGTAACCGAGATGAGTTTTAACCACTTGGCCTGAAATTTTTCATGACGGTTGACTTTTTTTTTTTTTTTGTCTGACTAAGATGGACTGAGGCAAGGAGAGACAGATAGGGAAGAGAGAGATATAATTGGGGCAGCTGGAGAAAATAAGGTAGGGGGAGTCGAGAGCTGAGGGAACAGGGCGATTTGTGCTGGACTAGAATCTATAATGTGTAAGACTTGGCCTGTTTGGGTTTTTTTGGTTGTTTTTTAACTGTCATCAAATATGTATGAAATCCGTCCTCTCTAGTGTTGGAGGATGACCGCCTACTACTCCTATCAGTTACCCTGTTAGCAACAGTGGCAGAGATCTGTTCGGTGGATCAAAAGCTTCCAACCCTGTGAATGAATCTCAGGGGTGTCAATGCAATGCCATGTGATGGAATTGGGTATCAATGCAATGCCATATGATGGAATTGGGTGTCAAAACCTTAACTGAGCCCACTCGCACCGATGCATTATAAGATTATTTTTTTATATAAGCACGTTGTTTTTTTTCCATAGGAGCCTGTGGTGGGGGGGGGGGGGGGGGGGGGGGGGGGGGTGGGGGGGGGGGGGGGGGGGGAACAGCGCTGTGTCATGAATATTGGCAGTGCCTACAAGGCACCTGCATCATCTGCTGTGCAGCTTTGAAGATGACAGAGGGAGGGTTTGCAGGAAGAGAGGACATTCTCCTGAAAAAGGCAGCTAAATGCTGCTCCAGCAATCTGAACTCTATCCATGCTTTTACCTGCTGCCACCTCCTCTTGGAAACGTCCTTCTATGAGGGAGAACTGGTCAGATGGGCTCTCTAAGCTCATGGGTGCCAGCACTAATTTGCTTGGAGAGGTCCTGGCTGGTGATACTGGGCACTCCCCTCCAGAGCAGGGTGGATATATTTGGCATCTCCACCTGCTGTGTTGAATTCCATGTGACATCTGATCCTATGTAGCTCTGGAGTGAACTGCAGAAATCAACCCTGTGTTACAATGCAAACACACACGCCCCTTCCTGGGTTCCAGGCACCTGCCAGGCAGAGAGACCGCACCAGGCTTGGCAAAATCCACACTGGGGGCAGACGGGCAGATAAACCCACCAGGGTCCAAGAGGACAGTGTAGGCAGTTGGGCAATCAAGTGCTTGTTCAGAACAAAGTGCAGGGGGAGTTTTAATGTCCCGTAGTGTCCTGTCTCCTTGCTGTTTTTTGTCGTACCATCTCAGCTGGATCGTGCAGCCATGCCAGCAAAGGAGGAGGCAGGGGGGTCACAGGGCAGCATAGCCAGGAATGGGGTAAGTTTGCAAGGCTGAGAAAAAGCTCTTTCTGCTGTATTGAAAGGAATGCATGGAGTCTTCTCTGAAGGATGAGGGCTGCCGGCTTCTTGATGGTTAGCCCTGCTGTAGTGCCAGGTCCTGTTGTAACCTCCCTTTTCTTCCACTGCTCCAGTACTGCTATTCCCATAATAATACCCTCTGGGCTGATTGTGCCCCAGAGTGGGCTCTGTAACTTTAGGGTTCCCTTCACCATAAATATTACATTCTCCTCAGCTCCCAGCTTTGTGGCTATGGCAGTGGGGTTAAATGCAAATAGCTCCCCAAACACACATCTCCCACCACAGGCTGCTTAGAGGGCGTGGGAATGCTATTGGCAGCTGAGCTGTAGCAAGCGTCTCCAGAGGAGTTCTCCACTTTGGATTTGAAAGCAGGGATAGAGCATGAACACAGTGAGCTTTGATAGATTGATGTGCGTGTTGGCTGGGAGGAAACTGAAATATCTATTAGGCAGACATCTCTGGTGGTAGATTAGTATTAAGCTATATGCAGTTCGTAAAGGGAATGAACACTGAAACCACAGAGGTAATAGTGGTGCCTGAGTACTTGTGTCAGGATGGCATCTACCACTCTCGAGCAAAGCCAGGACTCTCTGGAACTAGGGGCTGATAACTGCAAAGGACCTAGGGACTGATAATTGTAGAGTCCCTGCCCCAGGGATTTTTGCAGTTTAAAATTTAAACACCTGTAGTCTGTAGTCTGTGAATGTCCTTCCTGCAGTAAACGGATCGCATGCGTGTGTGTGCGCATGTGCAATGCATGTGTGTGTATGAATAGCTTCCCTGTGGGGGGAGTTAGTGCTGCTCACGTGCGAGTCCTCAGCGCTCTCCTGCTCCTAGTCAAGGGATCAAGGGAGTCTTTCCTTTCCGTCCTTGTGGACAATGTTTTGTGTTGCTGAAACAGGGGGCTGAGAGGCCTATCTGCTACAGGGCTGTGAAGCACCAGGTGAGATGGCAAGGAATGAAGTCCTAGGCTGTTTGTTGCAAGTGGTGCTATAATAGTGTACCTGGATGCACCTACGGGAAGCCGCAAATAACAGTAAGCTTCTAAAATGTGTTGGCATCCTGAGAGAAGAGAGGTGGTATGACGTTAGCAGCCAAGGAAGAGGCTGGGTGCTAAGCTATGATACGTTTGGGTCTCTGTCGAGCAGCCCTCCCTGCATCCATGCGTTCAAAGTTCCTTCACCTGCTACTTTCTCCAGCACTGCCTTATGGCTGTTCTTCTTTGACTGCTGATAGGCAAATCTTTGAGGAACTGTTCTGATGTGATAAGCAAATATTTGCTGCTTCTTGAAGGACTCCTGATTGCATCAGACCTCATTGCACTGATTTTTTTTGTTATATAACATGGTTAAGTTTTTTTTTTCTTTGACTGAAAGGCAGGACATGAGGTCCCTCTGATAACTCTGATCTCCCTCCTCCCTTTCTTATCCTGTATCTCATTGACTTAAAGGGCAAGAGATCTCATTTCTTGAATGGTGTGCAGCAGCAATTCTTTTCATTCCCTCCCCACACAGTGAATGAACAGTTTCTGCCCAGACTTCCTCTGAGTCCAGGAACTAGGAATCAAACTCGAGTCTACTCTCAGGCAGGTCAGGGCATGTCATGGTGGCAGTGGGATGGCTTGTGTGCTTTCCGCCCAGTGTAAAGCCTCTAAAGGGGTTAATTAGCTTGGAATTTGTTCTATTGCATATGGACTGTCTCTAGTGGTTAGAGAGCCAAGAAATGCTCAGAAGATTGTTGCAACTAATGTTCTGGCTTGTATCTCTGTTTTAATTTAATGCTGGTAACAGCTGGCAAAAGCTCTAGGAACTCCTTGAGAGATACTGTCGAGTTCTGGGCACTAAACTTTTTGGAATCATCTTTCTTTAAGGAAAGATGAACAAAGCATTATCACACCCGGGCTTGCCTTAAAACAAGGTTTTTAAACTGAAGATTGTTCAGCTCAAAGGACCATCCTCTGTTGTTTGAACTGAAGTAGCACTTAATCTCTCTAAGGGCCTGGACAGACTGTCACATTTTACATTGGTTTTGTATGCCAATTAAATTCAACCACCAAAAAAAGTAGTCAAAAAGGCCAAGGCTGAATCAATTTAGTCGTTGCAGGTTAGTTTAAGTTGCAGAGCTTAAACTGAGAAACACCTGGACAGACATTCACTTTTGATTCGGGAAATGCACCCACATACCTGCAGTGGCTCAGGCCAGAAGCCAAGGGGTGCTACAGCACAGCTGTCTGGCACACAGCCAGCATGGGCTGTGTGTTTGCTTCCTCTTCCTGCTGCCCCCGGATTTGCAGTCCAGACTCAGAGCAGCAGGACTCTGCAGGGTTGCTCATCAATCATTTCCTCTTCCTGCTTCCAGGTGCCTTTGGGATTTGTAGTCCATAGTTGCAGCCAGCAGTAAGTTTTAGTAAGGCAGCTCTTTACTGGGGGTGGGGGGAGTTTAACCCCCCTCCCTGACCCCAGAACCCAGCTGGGGTTTGCCTGGGAAGGGGGGCAGCCCCACCCCCCACGCCCCAAACACTTCTCTGCTTAAGCAGACAGCACAGCCCAGCCCAGGGCTGGAAAGCATGCCAGGATGCTGGGGAACTGTGATTTAACTTGAGCCAGGAAGGGGTCTGGGACAGAAGTTTCATAAACTGGTTTGACCCAAATCAGTTAAGTCTGATACTACATTCAACCAGGTTTATCTGAAACCATTTCAGCTATTTTGAAACTGGTTTACATGCATGAACTTCTGGTCTGTTACAGTTTTAAGCCAGTTTCTAATGACTTAAACCGGTTTATGTGTAACTTCTGTCCCTAGCCCAGATGTGCACTTACCATGGTTACCCCAGGGTGGAGGTAGACAGATGAAACCTAAACTGTTATAACTGATACCAGTTGAGTTTATCCCGGATTCTTTCAGGGACAGTTCTCCATAGGGTTGGGCAAAATTGACTCTGTTGTAGGGGTTTCCATCCTCTGTCTGCTACGTTGTTTGTGAATGTGTTGTCTTTCTGTGTACTAATTCTGCTACACCTGAGAGCTGCTAGCACTAGAAGACTGTTCTCCAATGGCTCAGCTATTGCAGTGGGACACTGCATGTTGTTTCCAGTGTTTGCATGTACAAGGTAATTTCCAATGCTGATCTGGTTTTGCTGTTGGAAGGAATTCAGCCTGGAAAATCAGCTTTTCTGCTTACGGGGAATGAAACTAGTTAGGAATTTGTCTGTGATTATGAACCAATTAACCCTCTTCCCCAACCCTTCGGTGCTGGGCACTTTCTTGTAACGTTTGTTCCTTGAGAGTTTCCTCTTCCCTCCTTATCTTTTTTCCAGTTGTCTTGCTTGCCTTGCATGTTGTGGCTTGTATTGCCTTCAGTGCACCCCCAGTAGCAAGTAGTATGTTGAGCACCCTTTATATCAAGTCTGTCCAATTTTTCTAAGCAGCCCTGGGGCTGACTGCCACATGCCAGGAGCTGAATGCCACGGGCACCCTGACCTGCACTATGTATGGATGCTCTCCCCTCCCACTGCGGCACTGTGCATGTTCCCATGCCCCTCGCCCCCACTGATGGGGGGGGTGTACTCCTTCCCTGCACCTCCTGCCTCCGTAAACCTGGCCTTACCCTCAGTTCCCCCTTCCATGCTTTGCTGCACAGGGGAAGGCAGAGGAAGCAAAGGGAGCACAAAGACTCCTGTTGCTGTTACAGCTGGAACAATGATCAGGCAGGAGCCTGGGGGCCACAGCTTAACCCTTTTTGGGCTGCCAATTAGCCCTGCTTTTCATATCATTAGACCCTCTGCTTGCAAAAAGCTCTTGCATCCATCACATGCACTGTGCAGAATCCCTTGAGTTCCTGGAGTTTGAAATGGACTTTAAGTGAACAGTGACAAGGCTGGCAGTTGTTAAATCAGCTGTGTCCAGAACAAACGCTGAGTGGTGTGTGCATGGGGGACAGCCTGGCTCCAATCGGCGTCTTGTTCGCATGACTTCAGTTTGAATGCCGTGTGACTACTTTTACAAGCTGCAGAACAACCCTCAAGAAGAACCGCTTGCAGATGCCAAAAATAGTCAAGGACAGGGAACGGTGAGTGTAAATGGGCGATTCTCAACGCTGGGGGGCTGTGAGAGTCGTACGATGGTAGCACCGATAGGTGTACAAATATGATTCATGAGACAACCCCAGAGATTTCTAATAGGTATCCATAGTGCTAAAAACATTCTGACCTGCTGATCTTTCTGCGTTCTTTGCATCAGAAGAATTGCTCTAGTATCTTTTCAGTCAAAAAAAGAGTGAAAACTAAGAGCTTTCATTTCCCAAGGGGGGCCCTCGAGTCTAAAAGGTTGAGAACTGCTGATGTAATCCTTGTGCTAAGCGCCTTACACAGGCAACCGTAAAGCAGTCACTTGGGTAGTCGGTTGGAGGGTCCAGGAGGACAATTTTATTTCATTAATGCAGAGCAATAAAAGGAGCATGGACAAGAATAACAGTGGTTGTTAATCTAGTCCAGTTTATGGGCTATATCTGTGAACTTTGCATATCTCTGATTAACTTGAAAGGGATCTTAGTTAACTAGTAACCAAGTGCTTTGAGAGCCAGACTGCAGAGTAGAGAGCTAGCCCCCTGCCAGCCACAGGTGGCTTGACCCTCACCTGTGGTGGCAAAAGATCCAAGGAGCGAAGAGGTTAATCTGTTGGGGTGTGTAAGCAACAGGCCAAAGACTGGAGCAGGAACAGCGAGTTTCCCTGAGTTGCTGTGATCTGTAGGAGGGCCCTGAGCTGTCTGCTCTGTGCTCTGGATTCGATTCCTGGTAGGGGAGCAGGGAGGCAGGGTGCTTCCCTGACCGTGTTTAAGCCACATCCAGGTCCCATCCCCGCCAGGCCTGGTGATACCTGCGCTGGAACAGTCGGGACCTGCCCCTGCCCTCCCTGAAGAGGGTCGATGCGGGATGAGGCTGTCAGGGGAACGTTTTGTAGCCTACGTGGCCCTGAAGAGACGCAGCCAGACACTCACTAGGCCCCACGCCAGTCCTCTGTAACCCCTGGCCATGCTGCTGTCTGAGCCCTGCCAACAGCTATTATGTTAACACATAGCAGCTCCTTCCATTGTTTCCCTGGGCAGCCCAAAGAAAGGCTTTCTCCTGGAGGAAGGATTCTGACAAACTGGAGCTGACTAATAACACCGCCTGCTTGGCTAAGGTGCCCAGCCTGCTGCTTGGTACATGGAAAGCCTGGTCTTTGGAGGTGCTGAGCCCTTGCAATGATTGGGGGCACCAGGCTTCAAGCAGGGCTGGCATAACTGGCCAACCCTCACAGGTAGCAGCCTGGGGTGGCAAACTGAAGGGGATGGCAGGAACGGTGTGCTCATATGCACCACCATGTGCTCCCTTGGGGCCACCCCAGGAGTGTGGGTATGTGAAGAAGCGAGCAGAGCAGCTCCAGTGCAGTTAAGCTGCTGCTCCAGGGCTCTGCCTGGTGCCCACCCTCATCCAGTCCCAGGTACGTTACAAGGTTGGGTGGCAAAAAGGCCTAGAGAGCATAAATCCTTGCAGTGCTCCTGGCTCCAGAGCATGATGCATTTTTCTTAGTGCCCTACCAGCATTGGCTGGTGCCCACCAATGACTCCTGCGTCCAGCTGAGCCCTATTGCATCCTCCAGAAGTGGTGCTCGGCACTGCAGTGGCACTATTGAGATCAGCCATGCACCCCCTGGAAGCGCCAGTCGCGAAACTGGAACTTCTGGCGATCGGCTGCAGAGCGACCCACCCCCCTCGACCAGTGATCTGGTGCCCCCCTGGACTTGGGAGGCACCAGCCGCCCATGTTAGGATCCCTGGGTAAGAAGGGCTGATGGTGAGTGCCAATAGCCCTATTTGCAAGTAGGGAAGCTGAGTCCCAGAGACGTGAGATGAAATTGCCCCTGGCCAGAAGCAGTCCAGGAGCTCCCAAGTCTGTGCTCCAGTCTCCAGACCAGTGAGAAGCTATGTGTTTCACCCCTCAGCATGATCCCCATCTGCAGGGGCTGGGCACTGTGGCATAGGCTCTCTGGCAGCACCAGCCTGCTGCCGTGGGCATGTTGCAGCTGTGGTGAAACCTTGGCAAAAGTCTGGTTGGCCCAGGGTGTCCTGACCGTCCTTGACCAAGGGAAGGAAAAGCACGGGCACGAGGGAGCCAGGCAGAGCCCTGCAGAGTTTCACGCTGAGCCCAGGAGGGTTCAGAGGACGGATCACGTATATGGGGCAATAAACAGCACTACTGTGTGCACTTGGGCACACCCTGGCTGTAGCCGGGCTGGGGGGGGTCCTTGCTTTGGGGCCCTTCCCTCCGTTCCTCCTCTGCTTTAAAAGCCCAGACTCTGCTTTGTGCCTCACACATCACCATGAAGCCAGAAAAGGAGACACAGGACAGTCCCAACTTGTGCGAGAGCAGAGAGGGGGTGAGTTTGCCTGGCTCCTTCTTGGAGCCACACAGAGGGATTGTAGCGTCTTTTCAGTGAGGCACCGCAGTCTGGGCACGGAGCTGGGAGCCTCGCTCAGGCTGACTGACTCCCTGACCTTGGGCAGTCACCGGACCTCTCCCTGTGGGCAATTAAAATCTCTGAGGAAGCTTGAATGAATATTGGGTAAACCAGAGGTCGCTCTGAAAGATCTCATGAAAGAGCCTGTGTCCTCACAGATGGCCTAAGGGAATCGGGCAATGAAAAGGCTCCAAGACAGTGAGGTTAATGACAGCTGGAGGAAATAATGTGCTTGTGAATGAGAATGGGATTTGATTGCCTGGGGTAGCAATGTAGTTACGGTAGCGAGCTATAAAAAAAGAGCTTTGCCAACAGCGGCACAGCCGGCTCTAGCCTGAGAGCGCAGTAGTGACGAGTACTCGACTCGTCGCTACGACTAAGGACCCTGTTCCTACAAACAGCGCCCATTTATTGTCAGGCCGAGTGGATGGAAAAGTTCTTGATGGAGTGGGCCGGTGGGCTGCTCGTTCCTCAAATGCAGATGATCATTGAGTAAAAATGGAACAAGAAAGAAGGGAGGAGACTTTGGTTTTTCTACCAAATCTTTTTTCCTTTATGTAAGGTTTTGCTGTGTTTCAATGGCCAGTTGGAGAAAAGAGGGTTGGGTTAAAGATCGTAGTTCAGGGACCGTCATTCAGAACTCAGAGATGTGCCACAACGTGACAGGAGACCCAAGCGAACCGCTGACATTTCCAAGGGGGAATCCAGGGGAAGCGGTGCCTACTTTTCTTCATAAGCAAAAGAGGGCAGGAGTCCTATATTTTAAAGCATCTTTTGGAGGTCCCCACTAATGACAGCCTGAAAACCATTCCCGACAATGTAACTCATCTTCTTCCCTGCAGAAACTGACTGTTTTGCTCGCCTTGGTGACACTGGTGTCCACCTTCGGATCGTCCTTCCAGTACGGTTACAATGTCTCCGTGATCAACTCTCCCGCTCCGGTAGGTAGCAGGTAACAGCCTTGAGAGAGAGGATAATGAGAAGCAGACCCCTACCAGCGAAGGGCACGTGGGTGTGCATGTGTGTGATACACATTCCTATGTGAACAAAGTCTAAGCTTGATAAGGAGGAGTTCTCCAAGGGAGGCGAGGCACATGTTAACACTGTTCTCTGCCTAGTGTTTACTGCGTGCAGTGATTTCAGGGGGTTAGGCTGAAACACGATTACAGGATTGCATTGAACTGGGCTCTGGCGGTGATCCTCCCCCTCTTCCTTTTTGCCGGTATGTCTCTTCGTGCCCTTTCCCTTCCCTGCTCCACCATCCACCACAGCTCTGTACTGAGGGTCTCCTTATCTTCATTGTTACCCTTCTGCAAGGACCACAACTCTCTGTATCTACTCTTGACCCCAAATTCCTATTTTTCTCCACTATCTTTATGTCCATCAGTCCACTGAACGTCATTATCTCCAGGACATTGCCAAAATTCATTCCCTGATGGTCCCGACCTCCCCATAATGAATCCCTGCTCATGCACAAGCTGTTACTACCACCTGTCTTGGCCAGGGGTGCTCAACCCCTGGCCTGTGGGTCAAATCAGGCCCTCAGTGCCAGGTCATCTGGTCTGCAGGGCTCCCCTGATGCCAAATTTCTGGACCTCTGGGGAGCCCCACAGACCAGATAACGTGGCCCTGCACACAGAAGCAGGCACATGGGGCCTGATCCTGGCACATGTGGACAGAGCAATGCCTGATCCTGGCACGCAGGGCCTGCACCAGGTGTTGCTAGGCCAGGCAGGGATGGTGCAAGACCTGATCCAGGCGCAGAAGGCCTGATGGTGCCAAAAGATGGAGTCTTGACTCGAGCTTGTCCTCCTGACACTGCTTGCTGAGGCGCAGAGCCCCAAAGCTAAGCCAGGCACCCAGAAGAGCCAGTCTGTCCTGGGCTTCCTCTCCATTTCCTCCCTAGATCCTGTGTGCCTCAACTTGAAGAAAATATAGGAATTTGTGCTGAGCATCACTCTGTTTGTTCCTGTTGGGCTTTTATAGCAGGAATAAAGGTTTCCATCATGTTTTCTTGCTCCTGAGCCTCTCTTGGATCTTTTCTAGTTCATGCAAAACTTCTACAACCAAACCTACATGGACAGGTATGGCACCTACATGGACAGCAACTTCCGGACACTGCTCTGGTCTCTCACCGTGTCCATGTTCCCACTTGGAGGCTTCTTTGGGTCCCTGCTGGTTGGTCCTCTGGTGAACAATTGTGGCAGGTAAGTAGCAAAGGCTCTTCGGTGCCATCTGACCAGTCAGCAATGGAGCCTGTTACCCTGTTTTGAATTAAAGTGGTCCTGCAGGTCTGCCCAGCTCCTGGCCACATCCGCTCTGCCGCTATACAACCAGACTAATAGTTACTGAGCAGACCAGGAAAGGATCCCACCTCCTTTTCCCTTTGTGGTCACTGGTCTGATGGGCTGGGTGCAGAGGGCAGGTGGGGGACTTGGCTACACGGGCCATCTGGTCGGGACTATTAGACCTTGCTCTCTCACGCCTATATGACCTATATGACCCCTCATCTTAATAATAATCCTTTCTGTTCCATCTATGTGGGGAGCAGCTTAATTTGTCAAAGGCCCGTGTGGTTCAATTCTGCCATTTGTATTTTATGTCCTTGGCGTTCACCGTCACCACTCTCTCCTCAGCCATGTGCTCTTGGGTGTGAAATGATGATCAAGAAGCCTTCAGGAGGGCAACAAAGAAGGGGAGGGTCACAGAGGAAATCCTGGGCTGGCCCCTGGGTTTGATTACCCTGGGTTAGATGCTTCACCTCTCTATACCTTTGCTCCATACCTGTAAAACAGGATCATAACACTTCCTTTCTTGATTTTTGTCTGTTTAAAAGATAAGATTTCCCTTGGGCTGGGGCCACCTCTATGTATGCACAGCCCCCCGACACAGCTAGACCCCAAACTCAGTTGGGGCCTTTAGATACCATTGTAGTAAAAATGATAATGACCTATAATTGTCACCCGCTTGGTCTCTTCACAGAAAGGGCACTTTACTGATAAATAATCTCTTCTCCATTGTCCCCGCAATCCTCATGGGGACCTCGGAGGTGGCAAAGACCTTTGAGGGGATTATTCTTTCCCGAATCATCATTGGAATAAATGCAGGTGGGTGAAAAGCTGGATGGACACACAGGACAAATGGTAGGTTTCTCTGGGCCAGGGAGGGGGGGACGCCACATTAGGTGGGTACATGAGCGGCATATTAGAGTGATATTGTTCATGGTAGTGCTAGGTTTGCTTGTGGTAAAATACTCCATTCAATATTTGACTCTGTGCACAGCAGACGTTATTGATGAAGGTGATCTTGGTGAAGAGAAGAGACGAGGCTGGAGCGTGAGTTGTGTGGCAGCATCTCTGTTTGTACATGTAGCTATGTTCTTTAATAAATGTCTCCTTTTTTAAATGGGCTATTAGTCAACAGCTCATACAACCTGCTACTCTCTGAGTGATGATCCATTTCCTCATATTTTTAGGCCAAATTTATATTCCCTGTTTGATTAAACTAGCAACAGAACACCTCTGCCAGTCTGAAGTCATTAGAGACATGGCCATATGCAGATGTCCATCCCAGGATCTACCTATTTTGACGACATTGAAAATGGCCTTGTTATCAATGCAGGGTTCAGGGTCACTGGGATCTATTATAGTGGCTAGCTATACTTCTGGCACTGTAATGTAGTGTAGGCTAGCCCAGGCTGGCTTTAAATGTGCACCAGCAGCTGTGTGATGATGGTGATATGGAGCTTGGAGTAAGTGCGTAATATTTAGCCAGCTTCTCAGATGGGTTTTGTACTGTGAGAAGCTCAGTGCTCCTGGGGTTTTACTGATACCAGTTTAAAGGATGCTGCAGTTACTGACAGCCCAGGTTACATGGAACAAAATACTGTTTATTACTATCTACCTGTTGTACAGCACCTTGAGTGCTTGCCGCATCTGGTTAAATAATAGTCCTTCTGATCCTAACTCTAGTCACAATCCAGTCACTGACTCTAGTCCAGCACAACCACAAATCTGCTCTGTAGTTTTATTAGAAAACTTGGCTGCTCTGCAAAGAGATGACAGGTAAACAGGGTAACTAGGATATGAAGCCAATGACTCTGCAGTATAAACCCATCAAAGTCAGTGCATTTGCAGTGGAGATTAATCTGACCCAGTATATTTACTGACTCAGGAAACCTGGCAGCAGCTTTAACATTGGCTCTCAGCAAGTAAATATTCAACGCTGTGCTCTCTGCTCCTCGCTTCCTGTTATTTATAACTCTAAGGCAGAGCAGAGGAGACTCTAACCTGCGTTCCTCTGCCCACCTGACCTGGCCTGAACTATGGGGTCTGCCCAGAGGATGTGGCCAGGCCTGGCCTGGATTTGATTAATGTTGTGCCTTTGCAAACATCAGGCCAGCTTCATTGGATGGTAACGGCAGTAAAAGCCCTAGTGTAGACAGGGCTTCAGGGGCCTGAAGGTATTGTACAGCAGCGGTTCTCAACCTTTTGCATCTTGCATCCCACCAACCATTTTGTCAAAGAACCCTGGTCCCACCATGATAAAAACAAAACCCCATAAAATTGCACTGCTCGAGATCTGTTGATTCATCTAGTTGAAATGCAAACAACTGATTTTTTTTCAATCAGGCAATGAGTTGAAGTCCCACCTACACGAACTTCATGTCCCACCCATGGGACGTGTCCCACTGGTTGAGAAATATTGTTGTACAGGATCTGAGTAATCCAGGTCTAGATGACAAGATGCCCTGCCCACTTCTAAGCTTTTCTTCCGAGTCCCAAGGATTGGAAACTGTAAAGGCACAGCCCAGGCTGCTTAAGGGCAGCTGATGGTTCAGAAGTTTTATCAGGGAGGGAATGCCCTCAATCAGATGCACACTC